CAGCCGGCTAATAATAGGCAAGAGCAGAGAACAACAATAGAGCAAAAGAGCAAGAGAGAAAGAGCACAAGAGAATGTAGAATTGAGAGTATTCAGTGATGTCTGTTAATGAAAGAGTAGTGCATTTATAGTTCTAAAAACGGGTAGAAAATAAGGTAAGAAGTAAAGTGTAGTGTAATTATGGAAGTAAATACAATCAGAATCCCAATCAATGTAAGTACTCCCCTTTAATTGGGGAGTCCTAGTTCAAACAGCTACCAGGGTGACAAAAAAAGGAAAGAGACTAATTGAAAGACTAATTTCAATCATACATAGAGTAGTAAAGAATAAGGCGTGTGATTAGGACCAAGTATAGAACATATGAATTAAGGAAATTAAGAATCAATTGGCGACATGCTTGCACATAAAATAAGGCAGAGTATCATTTTGAAAATCAGTAAGAGATCCCCTAGTATCGCAGGGAATCAGTTATCAGTTAAGGCAGATGTCAACAAGTAAGGAAATTCACAAAATCAGTGAAGAGTGTTAAGGCAAGTATCATGGTTAAAGGAAAATACACAAAATCAGTAAAGTACTAGTCACAATCATTCAAGGATTCAAAGTGGCAAACTAATACTGATTTAAATGGAATAAACACACATTAGACGAAAATCAGAAACCCTGGTATATAACATTAGGAGTCATGTGAGTTAGGGATGCGAGATGAACCCAAAGACAAACAACATAGGGTAAAGATTAGTGAAACATGAACGCAAATGCAAGCACACAGGAAAAAAAGAGCAGCTTTCAGGGTTCTAAGTCTAAAAATTAGGGTTTCACACAGATACTAGTACGAATCAATAGAGTAGACATGATACATGCAAAGGAGACGAAGAGCCATAAACCCTAATGGGAAAACAGAGTAGAATCACTAGAATTTCAAGCCATTCGTGATAATCAAACACATATACTGACCCAATCACAAGGAAAAGACTTCAACAACGGTAAATATGAAGGAAAATCATGAGATAGTGTTAAAAATCGATAAAGAAAACCATTTTGAGAAAGGGTTTCGGAACCCTAATTAAAAGTGAAGGCCCGTTCAGAAAAATAGAAAGTTTTTTAAAGGAAACATCATAATAACTCGTAATATGCTTAGATCTACTATAAATCTAAAAGAATCGGAGGTTGGAAACATTAGGGTTTCAAAGAAAACCTCAGAGAAGATAAGAAGAACCTCAAACGTTACTGGTTCGAGCCTCAAAGGTCACATGCCTCACTCGAAATCAAACTTCGGAGGCCTGAAGCAAACAGAAACACCATGGGTGTGAGTAGACGGGTCTTCTTATTTGTCGTACGGAGGGTAGAGGGGATCGACGTTCAACTTGTGTGTGGCAACGTCTTTCGGGATACCTGGCATATCTGCATGGGAAAAAGCAAACCAATTGGTGTTGTTAATTAAAATCTTATGAAATTTACCTAGCTCGGAGAGTTTATGGCCTATATTAGCCTTTTTGCTGTTGTCGCTGCTGTCTAATTGGACGGGATCAAGACCTTCTACTGTTGACCCTGCGGCTTCCACGACGTCGGGGTCCTTGATAAAGTCTTTTTGTTCGTTGAGTTCGGACCCTGACTTTGATAATTGCTATGCTTCTGAGTCCGTTCCTTTTAGTTGTTGAGTGTATGAACAATCTTGGGCGATGTGATAACATTCTTGGGCTGTACGCTGTTCGCCTCGGATGCTGAATATCCTCCACGAAGTAGGGAACTTGATTACTTGATACAAGTTGGAGGGGATGGCCCTCATGGTATGTATCCATGGTCGTCCTATGATGGCATTGTAAGCTGTGTCCTGGTTCATGACATGGAACGTTGTTTCTAGGGTGACGCCTCCGGCAAGAACGGACAGTGTTATTTCTCCTGAGGTTCACTCGACTGCATTGTTAAAAACTGTTAGTGTTATGAAGTGTGGTACTATCTTGTCCTTGAGTCACATTTGTGCGAGAACTCAAGGGTGAATAATACACGTGCCGCTTCCGTTGTCTACCATTATTCTTTTTACATAAGTATCTGAAATACGTAGGGCTATGCTCAGTCGCTCATTAGCTCCCTCGAGAGGATATCTCGGTCACTCATCAGCTCCCTTAGGTGCCCTTGGTGGAGCATGTTCACTACTTCTTGCCGTAGGGCTATGCAGTACTCAGCTTTGTGACCTCGCTCCTGATGAAACTCACAGAGGACGTTCGACTTTCGAGTACTTGGGTCGAACTTCATCTTTTGTGGCCACTTCACCTTTGGACCGAGCTTCTCTAGTGCGTACACTATTTCTGAAGGCGAAATGCAAAAAATTGTGAGCAGATAAGAGTGGAGGCATACCTCTTTTGTTCCGTTGAGGACGGTCTTTGCGCATGGCGAGGAGATGGTGGGATGGCTGTTCTGACATAAGGTTGATGCCTGTCTAGGTGGCGTGGACCTGACTGGTCTCTTCGACCGTCATTACGACGGTCTTTCCTTGGCTCTGTTTGGATCGACGTTAACCGTTGGATTGGACCATTAAGGTCGTCCTCATCTGCTCTTACCTCGGCGTAGTAGGCGTTGTGAATTTCTTCCCAAGTGGTGGGAGGGTATTTCATGAGTCTGCTTAATAGTTTTCTTATCGCTCTTGACCCATTCCTATTTAAACCATTTTGGAAAGATTCCACCGCCATCCCTTCCGATACATCTGGTAAGCTCATCCTTACTCTGTTAAACCGAGCCCTCGCCAGGCGATTGCCTAACGGCAAATATATCATTTACCCTGGCTTCCGCCTTCTTAGCCCCGGCTTGGGTGGTGACGAACTTGTCGGCCATTTCCTTGAACGTAGTTATAGATCGTGCTGGTAATTGTGAGTACCAGGTTAAGGCTCCCCCGGTTAAGGTCTTGCCGAACTTCTTTAATAACATTGATGGTACTTGCTCTTTAGAGAGGTCGTTGCCTTTTACTGCTGTAACGTAATGAATGATGTGATCTTCGGGATCTGTCGTGCCGTCATATATCTTCAAATATGGTGGCATCTTTAAGGTTTTGGGTATGGCAAGTGGGGCTGCCTCCTCGCTGTATGGTTGTTCGACGAATCGGCCGACCTCCTCGCGGAGTTCTTTGTTCTCGTTTTCCATTTCTTCCATTTTCTTTAGAATGCTGCAAGTGCATCATTACCTGCATCAATAGCGGTGTGAGTGTTAGCTGTTGGGGGAGCGGGTTGCTCGTTGGCGATTGCTGTGATATCCGTCTGTATGACGTATCTATTTGCCCGTTGAGCAGGTTTGTCGAGTATGTCTCTTAGAGTGCTCGTCAGCCACGTCTCTAGTAGTTTTTTGATTATTGGTGCTTCCTTGGCTATGGATGTGGAGGATCCCCTTTCCCGCGAAGCGGTTACACTTCCATGAGGGGGAGGTGAGTCGCTCCGCCTGGGCATAGCACTCGGCGTCGTGTTCTCTTCGCCTTCTCTGTCAACCTCGTTGATGGTGTTCAAGAGGTTGGCAGTGACGTCTACTACTGCTTTCAGTCTTTCATCTCCTTTTCCTGCCATTGTTAGTTCGTGCAAACTAGGAAAAGATGGATGATGTTGTTGTTATTTGTTTTTTTTAATCTAGAAAGAACTAAAAATTTAACTAGAAACTTCCCACAGACGGCAACAAAATTGTTTGACCAAAAAGTGTTAAACTCTTTGTTAAACTAATTAATGATGAGATAGAGGATGAATCCTAGTTAAATATAATCATATCTAGATAAAAAAACTCGAACAGATCCGCGGAGTTAGACATATTTAGGAGTAACAAGATCAGGCACGTGTTCAACGTTTATCAATGAATTTGTAATAAGAACATGCAATAAATGTAGACAATGGCAATAAATATAATAAAGAGGTATTTATCACCCAAATGTTAGACAGTTTGGATGACTCTCCTTCCTGACAGCACGTGGAATTAAGATAAATGTGGATGGATAAGGAATCTCTGGATCTTGTGAACAAGGAATGAATAACGTGAATAAAGCTATAGAATCAGTGAGCAAGACAATATTTGTATATTCTTTCAAGTCAACTCTTTAAAAAATGCTCTTATCAAGAAGTGAAGATCCCCCTTTTTATTCTCTATCTCTTCCGATTTATAGGGGATATCCCCAAGAAACCCTAAGAAGTACAACATAAGGAATATCCAAAGGGATATTCCTTATAGCTATTTCTAAATCTATCCTACCGTTACTTCTTTACTCCATTTGCTCGTCCTTAGCGATAGTCCTTCTGGAGACGACTTCTCGCTATTATACCGTAGTCGACCTCGTCCTCGATCCTGTTTATCTGCAGTTATCAAGTTGTCCAAATTTGGACCAATACACTATGTAAGATTGATTTTCAAACGAAAGATTTCTTAGTTATAAATGTACTACAGTACTGACAATGATGGTTGTATAGAAACATCAACAAGGTACGTTAGGAAGTTACAAAATTTTTATGTAACAAAAACAATCTCAAAATTGATCAGCCATAGTGCCGTAACTTACTAACTTATCAAGCTTTCTTAAGTTATTTTTCTTGTAAACCAAATCATATAATCTTATCATGCACGAAAGTTTACTTGGAACAATATGGATCGAGTCAACTAAACTAAAAATGCATCACAAGTTTTAGAAAAAAATTAATAATTAAACCAAGACAATTTTTATTTTATTATAAACGCAGCGAGAGAACTTTTCTATGGGTTAACTTGAGCTATCCAGAATTATTCCAATTGACTAAACAAACAAATGTTTATACTTTTTGATAAAGTTTTTTATGGTTTGACTTGAGCTACCTAGAATTAATCCAAGTTCCAAGCAACTAAAATGACCCATCGATATGTATATATTTAGTCCGACCTGTCCGACCCAGGCAGTAAGTCTCGTCACGATTTTTTGGGCCAATTTGACGTCTCCATCCCCAACCTCTCATCCTAAAGAGTAAAGATCAGAAGTATAGAAAAATGCCGCAAAACATTATAGTCTCCACCTTTAAGAATTATGATGCTGAGTTTTTTATTATCTGATAACAGCATTTCAATTATTAGCATAGATATAGGAAGACAGCCTTGTAAGCACATCTCAAGCAAAAATTGATCAGCAGTGTACAACTGATTGGTGACTTCATCACATAAGAGACCTTGAGACAGATTGCCTGTATGCTCAATAAGGGAAAGAAAGAACAGAAAGCTGTCCTTGTTCTATCTAGGTAAAACTAATCGGTGTCATTGTATTGCTTCAGTAAAGCAACTTCCGGCTACCTTATGAAGCAGCTACAAAGAGATGACGTGAGCTTGCGAATTCTCTCTCAACTCGGCTCTACCATCTTCTCACGTTCAACACCACCAGCAGCTGCTATACTATGGAATACTCTCCCCGAAAAATGCTGATATCAACATCAAAACCGGTTAAATAAGCAGCTCTATAGGCAACACAATCAATTCAGAGTAGCATTATCAACACTTGCTCTGGGGATGCGAAATGCTTCTTGCAGATTGAAATCTTTTGTTTTACTTTTAAGGGAGGACCAGGGAAAGGGGAATCAGAGAGAGAGAGAGAGAGGCAATACCAAATACACGGTAGTCATGCAGTCAACACTTGTAAAAGGGCATTTCCACCTTAGATGGAACCTTGGTCCACCTCATCTGAGCTTTCTTCATACATGAATGAACTATCCTCGCTGCCACTACCTTGATCACTACTATCACTGCTCTCTGATGTACTCATGAATGAAGAGCTATCAGATGCAAGACTGCTCAAGTGTGACGAGGAGTTAATTTCGCTATTCACATCACTGTTGTTATGTTGTTCAACATCATTAAAGCTGTGAAAGACGGATAAAGGGAAACAAATAAATAGCACAGGTGGATCACCAATTATTTTCATGTTCAAGTAATGGAAGAACAAACCAACCTGCTTTCCAAAGAAAACTCTGCTAAAACACATAAATCGGGCCTTTCTTCTGACAATCGCTCTATAGGAATAAAGCTGCTTGGCACACACAACCAGAAAGTCAAAAGTCTATCTTCTTAATGATGTTGAAAAGTTTATCTAGAAGTTGTACTACCTACGGCTGTAGCATCGACGATACCAGTCACCTTCAGATACCAGGCCCTCTCGATTTGATATATCCTGCGTGAAAGCAGTTCAAGTGAAACCATCAATAAAGAGAACAAGAAACGAAAGGTGAAAATTTCTTAATAAGACTGTTATGAGCAGAAGTTTATACATACAAGATATTTAAGATGCCCAAAATCCCCTGCAAGCACTGCTGCTAATAGCCTTGCTACTTCTACCTACAGTCCACATAAGTTAAGACCACTTCCTTTCTTGACTTACTTCCCCATTTATTTACCAGATATGGGAAATGAGGATTTTCGGGGGAAAGAACACTTACTTCTTTCAAATGCATGCAATCCCTCAAAATCAATACCTGGAGTAAGCCCCCACCTGCACTGCCTCCTAGATTCCTGTAATATGAATGCTATTAGAATAAAAATAGTGCTAAAAAGATCGTAAGTTCATATAAAAACTTGAGTCGGAGGGCCTAATGGGAATCCTACTTGAGAAAAGCGCCAGTAATCGAGTAGGATGTTGAAAAGTCAATGTACCTCAATTTACGAAATCCCTACAAAATAAACAAAACCGAGGATTGTACAATGAGGTTCCCTTGGAAAAGCAACCACTGTAGTTGCCCAAAATATAACATTTACATGATTGACACATAGCTTGACACACCTCCTAAACTCTAACACAGAGTAGAAAAATCCAACTCGAACAAAAGTGGTCTAACTTCAGAAATTTTCTCAAGTTACCTGATAAATTATAAGTCTACAGAACATTTAAGTTCCAGTGTGAATAACAACATCAGGGGTAAAATTGCTAACGGCATAGCATTTCAACTTTTTCTTGGCTTAAGTATGTCACAAGCTGAATAGTTTATCAATTAGGCCAACAACAACAACAACAAACCCAGCTTAATCCCATACATGGGGTCTAGGGAGGGTAGTATGTACGCAGCCTTACCCCTTCCTATAAAGGCAGAGAGGCTGCTTCCGATAGACTCTCGGCTAAAGAAACGGTAAAAATACAACAACAAGCAATAACGGCAGTAATATAATAAGTAATGGAAGCGAGTGACATAACAAAGTAATAAAGAACTAAGAATAAAAGAATACAAGAATAGTAATAACAGCAGTAATATAATAAGTAATGGAAGCGAGTGACATAACAAAGTAATAAAGAACCAAGAATAAAGAATACAGGAATAGTACTAGTACTACTGGTAAACTCACAGCTACCTGTCAACTCACCACCTTAACTCTCTACATCCACACCTTCCTATCGCTAGTCATGTCCTCGCGGTTAGGTGCAGCAATGACAGTTTATCAATTAGGCCAAAAGAGAGAAATGGCAACAACATACACATAAATGCTCAACAGATAGCAATTCTGAGATGAGGCCAATGTGCAGTCTTTCCATACATCCCCAAAAGAGGAGAGGTTTCTGTAGTTCCTTCTTCAGTAAACTAAACTATTTACAGTCAAGCCAGCTTTGCACCTAGCTAACATAGAGAGATCACTAGAACCAGGTAAATGACTGGATCAACAAGTAGTAGTTCAAGTTACAACCACGAAAAATCAGAATTGGACGGTGTATAATTAAATGAATATGAATAGTGTCAACACAGGAAAAAATTCCCTCCCTGCTAAAATAGTTTATCTTGAGTGTTTATCTATATCTCTGAAGCCTTATTTCCTATCTAAGAACTTCACTCTATTTTTCTGCATTACTGATCTGAGTCATTCGTTTGTCTGATCAACAAACTTGTGCAGATGTGGTTATACTAAATCTAGGGGAATCTGTCAAACATAAAATAGAGTATTCCCTTCCAGGCTGCCGAACACACCAGTCAATGATCTCATCAGTTCAGCCACATGGTCTGGATGAGCCTTGAAACCATAGACAAAGCAAGTATTAAGAAAATTCTTAAAACTTGATGAACGCTTCCTTATCTTTACAAATGGCAAATGAAAAAGTACCAAGTTTTCAGGAAATTTGATGCATTGATGAAAACAAGCATAATGTTACTGATGGTGCAGACAATCTCAATGCGACCATCTTTGTGTTATACAGCATGAAGCTTAAAGTGATAAAGTCGAGCTCGCAAAAACAGTGTTGATAGTCTATACAAAAGTAGTAGCTTCACCGTGCAACTTCTAATATAGTTGTCAACTCACCTTAAATTAGCAAGAATCAGCACCATTGACAAATGTCAACAAGATTAAACTCAAAATTCATGTATTGGCTAGTCTAGACTGGTTTCTGGTACCAACAAAGGAAATAGTATAGCATGAGACATTAGCTTTTTATTTTGACAGCGCTAGGTACTTGCTAGAGCTAGAAGCAAGTCAGCTTCAAATAGCTTCATTGCACTAGACTCAAGTTGTATAGTAAGACATGGCTACACACCGCGTAACTCCAATTGAACGGCATACAGACCCAAACAAGGCATTGAAACGCTGGATAGAAACGCAAAAGAAGATCAATATACTGAAAAGCTTCATTCTCGAAAAACAAACCTTAACGAGTATGCGAGCTTTATAATCATGCAACTTAAATCCCCTTAGGGCCAATGAAGATAGGTGAGGACAATTGCTCACTAGATCACTGCATGTTGGCAGTTTCAAACTGTCGTCTCGACCTGAATACAAATGTGGAATATGGAAAAAATTCTTTAAATGGCTATTGAGAAAGCAAAAGAAAAGCAAATAGATAGATAAAAGAATGCACCTGTTTTTGACGATTCAAAGAATAGACGCTCAATCAGGGGACAAAATTTACTTATAGACTCCAGTGTCTGCCTTAATTCCACATGACTATCAGATGAACAAAACATTTCATGTTATAATCACTGTCATTGAAACTAGAAATGGAGCCATTCCCTCACAAAACAAAAAAACAAGAATAAGAATTTATCATGACTGTACTAGAAATTAGTATAAACAAATTATGGTTTTATTAGATCCCCGGTACTATCCATGTTGTTGTCAAAGAATTCAGAGTAAATGATCAACAATATAAATGAGTTGTGACAGAAGGAACTAAAAAGTAGGGAGTTATTCTATTTTCTTTGACAAAGAAAGTAATTTGCTTTTTACTTGAACAAACGAATGACTTTCAGACAAAGTATTTCAATTACTTGGAATCTACTGTTGATAAGAATGAAAAACACAAACCGGAAACATGTGATATAAAATATGGTGTTTCAGACGAAGTACTTAAATCACTTGGGCTCTGTGTTGTTCACAATAATAACAAACACAAACTGAAAACATGAGGCTATACTTGTGTTGTTCCCACAAAGCAACTAAAAGAGAACTCATGCTGCCACCTATTATTTAACTTCAAATGCTTATCTTGAGTGATTAATAAGACAAAGAAATACCCCACCAAGAACCTGTTCATGAATGCCTTTAGCCTCTCAATGAAAGTCAAAAAACAACAATCAAACATGAAGGCACTAAATCCATGGTACTTCTACTTACTTTTCAGCAGAATGCATAAGCAATTTTGGACCGAAAAAGAATAAAACAGAAGAAACTATTAGTTCCAATACTTACAGGCCAACAATTTCCAGATCAAGCAAAGATGGGCAGGCTGACAATGCAGCGTTAAGTGCAATATTGTCCAGTCTTTCAATATTGTACAGGTGCAACCTTCTCAAGCAAGCCCTTATTTTCCAACAAGGCAGAGCGAAGAAGCAACTTAGTACCTCAGCTTTTAATTAATAAATAACCAGATATTATACAGTATTTATATATACAAAATCAGTATATAAAATTACATAACATCGCTTTATCAAGAATGGAGCAATACCCTGGAGTTCCATTATTAGCATTCAGAGGTGCTAGGCAAGACCTTGTAAGAATAGAATACTCTTTGCCCTGCTTGGACCTCTTATTATTCCATGAGAATCCTGCAGCATCTGTAGATTTCCTTATAAAATTAACCACTGATTGAGAAGACCCCGATGATGCAGCAAGTGGGCCAGGTACAAAGCCCAGCTTCAGAGACCTGCATTCAGTAAAGTCAATGTTTGTCCACCAGTGCAAATACCAATTTATATTCTTTGTATAACAGCCTTTTGAGGTCAAGATGAATAGCATCTCAAGTATTCCACTTTTGTGCACTTAAATCCAATGTTCTTTGCGATATCCTCTTAGAATAAGGTAGTTACCATCCTCTACTCACTCTCTTACATAACATTTTCTCGTGTAAGACCTAAATCAACATGTTTCCATGGGTCTACTCTGTAGCGCTAAAGTTATAACAGTATTTTTCAGCATATTCAATTCACTATTGTTCTTCGGCGCTCTTATGTGAATTAGTATTTTAAAACCAACTGAAGATAACTTTAAAAGGAAGAAGATTGAAGTTATGAAGCAGAGGACGGCAATTCTCTTACTGGAGTCCATTTCCAGCACGGTGAACTATTGTTGCCACAACAGCATTATTGACTCTAGGAACCACTGTGATCAAGTCAACATTAGCATAGCATGCAGGGTCTGCGGCACAATTTTTGAAAAAGGAACATGTGACCGCAGCATAACATAAACTCTGGGTGTCAAGCAATGAAAACACCTGCCCAAAAAAATAACCACCAAAACATTATCTTATTTTCATAAGCACAAATTGCTTCCATCCTCAACTGTACATTTAGTAATAGCCAACACCTTACCATCAAGAATTTTTATCGCCAATTCATTGTAATGCCATGATAATACAAGTATTCATCGTTCCCCAGACAGACAAAAATATCAAGCAACTCGAACAACTATGCCTCAACCCCAACTACTCTCTTTGCATTCTACTCTATATGAACCAATTTATAAAAATCTTCAATGATAACCAAATATCTGAGTACTTAGTACAACTATCACGTATCAACAATATAGACCTCAAAATTCTAACAATGAAACAAAAGCACATTTCAAAAGCTATCCTAGTGGCTTACTTTCACTAGGATTAGTTAAGAATGGAAGCCGAACCAGAGCAATCCTATTCACTGATTTTACATAACTAATAATAAACGAGATTATTTAATAAACACCATCTACTGAAAACAAACAGCTCTCAAAATAATTCATCCATTAGGATAAATTCTCTACACAAAAAAGAACATGAAATGAATAGGCAAACTACACACATTTCAAACTCCCAGCTCAGAAACAAAAGAATAAAATTTTGGAAAAGGAAAAATAACTAAGCAAAAAATAAGCATTAGCAAATTCAGATTAGTAACTATAAGCTACACACATTTCCAATTTGTAACAATTACGTATATACCAATAATTAAAAGAAGGTATGTATGAATAGAACATACCTTTATAGTTAGATCGGAGGGAAGAGCCCAAACGACGGCGTTATGCATGGAATCGCGCGCGCGGGCAGATCGTTTGCCAGCTTCGAGAAGCGCAGATCCTAATCGAAGTGCGCGGTTTATCATATCATTTTGTTCCGAATCGGAAGCTTTAGAACCGAGAAGCCGATTGAAGGAGAGGTCAAAGGAGGAATCGGAGAGACCGAGAAACGATTCCAATAGCACGTCGTGATCGATATAGGAACTGAAACCATTGGAACTGGTGGTGAATTTAGGGTTTAAGCCAGAAGTGGCGGAGCAGCATGGACGTTTCGGGTTCGGGTTCGGTGACTCCATCGCCAGCGCTGGCGACTGGCGGCGGAGAAGGAGAGTATCCATGAAGAGCGGAAGGCGCGAGAGATTGAGAGTGGGCCCGGGAAGTGAAGTGGTAATGAGAAATTCGTGATGTACGGATTAAGAAAAATTATGGGGACACGTCTGCGTAGAATATTCCGACGTGGAATGGGAATCGCATGCACATGACTTGCCAATTACTCCCACCGTTCAGTTGACCCGTTTTGACTTTGACAAAATACATGTGCAGCCCCTTAAACTTGTTTAAGTTTTTTCATTTAAACACCTAAACTTAGAGTAGTACCTATTGAACACTTGATTTAAGTGTAAAATGTATCTATTGAACACATTTTTAATAATATGCTCATACGTTAAACGCGTGAAGGTCACACATCTGACTTTGAAAGTGCAACCAATAAAAAGGATACATTTGGAAAGAAAAATGACGTGTCAAAGAAGATCCCTTCCAACCAATTCCCTTCTGTCTCGTTGCCTCTCACGAGAAAGGCTGATGATCATGAGTCCATGACAAAAACTTGGAGACCATCATAAAAGAAAGAGATGACCGGAGTCGACGGTGGTTGGAACATATTCCGGTGATCTTTTTCTTATTTATTTTCTTCTCCATAGCCCTCTCCCCCACAAAACACTTTGTTACAACTTATCAGGCCCAATAATGGTGAAAAATCTCATCGGAATTCCGCCGAAAAATATCCAACCGGTAATCGCCCGATCTTCTAACTCATGTTCCTCTCTTAAAATCAACTTTATAATACGAAATCATGCAAAATAAAACCCAGAAAATCTGAAAAGGCTCGTAGAGAACTTCACCGGAGTTTGACAGAAAATAATTTCAAGGAGAAAGAGTATACACCCACCAATTGTTAACACCATTAAGATCCCCAACTTAGGAAATAGGTAATTCACCTTCTTGTTTCAGGCGACAATGGCGAGCAGCGGTAGGTTTCTCTTCAAAAATGGCATGATTCCATCAATAATACTAGTAGTTGACTTTTAAGCATTAGTTTTGTTGTCGATCTAAGTTTATGTCATCGTACACATTTGTAAGTTTATTTTTTTCGTACCATTAGGGTGGTCTCTATGTAGGTGGTGGAGATGGCACGGTGGTGGTTGAGATGTCGGAGATGGTGGCAACGGAGAAACAATGAAGGAGATGAAAAAAAATCTAAAAAAAAATATTTGGGCTGTTTCACGCTCTCAAAGGCAGTGTAATGCACACTCCATGCCATATCACCAAGATGTGTCTAATAGACACAGTTTCTATCAACTTTAAGTGTTCAATAGGTACTATTCTTGATTTAGGTGTCTAAATGAAAAAACATGACAAGTTTAAGGGGTTGCATATGTATCAGCCTTTGACTTTTGACGCCCCTTAAGAAATAATAAATGAAATGCATAATTTACTATGATACCTATATTAATTGATGCATATTTTATTGAATTTAAGTCAATAATTTAAAATGAGTAATAAATACTGTGGGTATAACAGGAAAAAAAATTATCTTCTCTTGATATAAGTAAAGTGACAAGTAAAAATGAAAATCTATTTTTAGTATAGGTAGTAATCACTCTTGAACCTACTCTACTTTTGGGATGTGGTGATGGAATTTCCGGTTCTAATCATGAGAGAATCGAATATGTTGAAAATAGTTACTATTAAGGATGATTAGAATTTCTTTATTTTATTTAAACTAATATTAGTATCCGCACGATGTGCAAATACTATTGTAATCTCATAAAATTTTATATACATAAATGAATAACTATTGGCAGAAACTCAAATATTATAATCTCACATCTTTGGAGTAATATTATATGGAGTAATAACTAAAAAAATATTTAGTAATATCTTAATTTAAATTATAGAAAAATATATTCTATTGTTATCCCAACCGAAGTACCTCTCATAACAACATCAACATCTACCAACCTAAGTCACGCAATTTATTACCTTTAGGGTTCGTTTGATAGGAAGTATAAGAATAGTGGTATATGGTGTATTAGTAATGCTGACATTATTTTTCATTCACTGTTTGGTTTGGTGTAGTAGTGTACTAATCATTGCCTAATTTTTTTTAAATTAATTATTTACAAAAATACCCTCCACATTCTTTAACTTTGTGTCACGATCCAAAATCCACTAAGGGTCGCGATATGCCAAGTTCTTCAAGTGTGAGTTTTGGCTGAGTTCAGTTGCATTTCTGGGTCATGTTGTATCAGCAGAGGGTATTCAAGTGGACCCAAAGAAGATGGAGGCAGTCAAGAACTGGCTTAGACCAGCATCAGCTACAGAGATCCGGAGTTTCTTGGGGTTGGCAGGCTACTATCGACGGTTCGTGGAGGGGTTTTCATCCATTGCAGCCCCAATGACCAGATTGACCCAGAAGGGTGCCCAGTTCAGATGGTCGGAAGAGTGTGAGGCGAGCTTTCAGAAGCTCAAGACAGTTCTGACTACGGCACCGGTGTTGGTTTTGCCCGCCGGTTCAGGGCCTTATACAGTCTATTGTGATTCTTCCCGTGTGGGGCTTGGAGCAGTGTTGATGCAGGATGGCAAGGTTCATTGCCTATGCTTCAAGGCAGTTGAAGATTCATGAGAAGAACTATCCGGTTCATGATTTGGAGTTGGCAGCCATAGTTCACGCATTGAAGATTTGGAGGCGTCATCTGTTTGGCGTGGCATGTGAGGTGTTCACGGATCACAAGAGTCTTCAGTACTTGTTCAAGCAAAAGGAGGTAAATTTGAGGCAGAGGAGGTCGTTGGAGTTGTTGAAGGACTATGATATCACCATTCTATATCATCCGGGGAAGGCCAATGTGGTGGTCGATGCATTGAGTAGGAAGTCAGCCAGTATGGGCAGTCTTGCTTATATTCCGGTCGGTGAGAGGCCGCTTGCCTTGGATATTCAGGCCTTAGCCAATCAGTTCGTGAGGCTGGATGTTTCTGAGCCCAGTCGTGTGTTAGCTTGCACGGTAGCTCGTTCTTCATTATTGGAGCGTATCCGTGATCGACAGTATGATGACCCCTATTTGTGTGTCCTTAGAGACACGGCGCAGCGGGGGGGTGCCAGGCATGTTACCTTAGATGATGATGGAGTTTTGAGATTGCAGGGTCGAGTATGTGTGCCTAATGTGGATAGGCTCCGAGAGTTGATTTTGGAGGAGGCCCATAGCTCCCGGTACTCTATTCATCCGGGCGCCGCAAAGATGTATCAGGATTTGCGGCAGCATTATTGGTGGCGTAGAATGAAGAAAGATATCGTAGCATATGTGGCTCGTTGTGTGAATTGTCAGCAGGTTAAGTACGAGCATCAGAGGCCTGGTGGTTTATTTTAGAGGATTGAGCTTCCCGAGTGGAAGTGGGAGCGGATTACTATGGACTTTGTTATTGGACTTTCGCTGACACGGAAGAAGTTCGACGCAGTATGCGTCATTGTTGATAGGCTGACCAAGTCAGCATATTTCATTCCTGTGGCAGTCTCCTATTCTTTTGAGAGGTTGGCCGAGATCTATATTCGGGAGATTGTTCGCCTTCATGGTGTACCCGTATTTATCATTTCGGACCGGGGTACGTAGTTTACCTCGCGCTTCTGGAGAGCAGTTCAGCGAGAGTTGGGCACACGGGTTGATTTGAGGACAACATTTCATCCCCAGATGGATGGTCAGTTCGAGCGGACTATTCAAATTTTGGAGGATAAGCTCCGAGCTTGTGTTATTGACTTTGGAGGTTCGTGGGATCGGTTCTTGCCCTTAGTGGAGTTTGCCTACAATAACAGCTACCAGTCGAGCATCCAGATGGCTCCCTATGAGGCTTTATATGGTAGGCGGTGTCGGTCTCCGGTTGGGTGGTTTGAGCCGGGAGAGGCTCGGTTGTTGGGTACGGATCTAGTTCAGGAAGCCTTAGACAAGGTCAGAATCATTCAGGATAGGCTTCGTTCAGCTCAGTCCAAGCAAAAGAGCTATGCAGATCGCAAGGTTCGAGATGTGGCTTTCATGGTTGGTGAGCGAGTATTGCTCCGAGTGTCGCCTATGAAAGGCGTGACGAGATTTGGGAAGAAGGGCAAGCTTAGCCCTAGGTTCATTGGTCCGTTTGAGATTCTTGACCGAGTGGGAGAGGTGGCTTATAGACTTGCTTTACCGCCGAGCTTATCAGCCGTGCATCCAGTATTTCATGTGTCCATGCTTCGGAGGTATCACGGCGATCCATCCCACGTGTTAGATTTCAGCATTGTCCAGTTAGACAAGGACTTGTCTTATGAGGAGAAGCCGGTATCTATTCTAGACCGGCAGGTTCGTCGGTTGAGATCCAAGAGTTTCCCTTCTATTCGTGTTCAGTGAGAGGTCAGCCTCCTGAGGCATCAACCCGGGAGTCCGAGTCCGATATGCGGAGCCGTTATCCTCATCTTTTCCCCGACTCAGGTACTTCTTTCTTCTGTCCGTTTGAGGACGAACGGTTGTTTTAGAGGTGGAGAATGTGACGACCCAAAAGGGATCATCACCTGTTTTAAATAATTATGTGCTTCCGAGGCTTTGAAAACCTCATTTAGAGTCGCCTCGATTTGCGTGCGCAGTCCGGGCGCGTAGCCGGAAAGCTTAAATGTGAAATTGTGTGAAAAATGCTAAATTTTGGTATTAAAATGAATGAATTTTACTTCGGTCAACATTTTGGGTAGACGGACCCGGACCCGTGATTTGACGGTCCCGGAGGGTCCGTAGGAAAATATAGGACTTGGGCGTATGCCCGGAATCGAATTCCGAGGTCCCAATCCCGAGAAATGAATTTTTCTGTAAAAATTGTTTTCTGAAATTGTTTAAGGATATTGGAAATGAAAATTGATTAGAACGTGTTGGTATCGGGCCTGTATTTTGGTTCCGGCGCCCGGTACAGGTCTTATATGTGATTTAAGATGTTTTCGTAAAGTTTGGTTAAAAACAGACGTCGTTTGACGGGATCCGGACCTAAATGGGAAATTGATGTTTAATAGGAATTTTGAGAAATCTCATTGATCTCGAGGCTTAATTCGATGTTCATGATGTTATATTGGTGATTTGATCACACGAATATGTTCGTAGGATGTTTTTGAGGTAGTGTACATACTTGGGTTGGAGTTTCGAGGGCTCGGGTGAGTTTTGAGTAGGT